TCAACAGGTTCCAGTATCCTTCTGGATGCAAGAGGAACCCTAACTTGGTGCAGGACCCTAATGTGTGCCTTTTCATCGACGTAGATTTCAATCAAGGGTCCCTTGAAGCTGACGTGGGCATCGTCCCTCAGGACATCACTTCTCCGACAACTCGTGCTGTGGCCGGGTTCACTACTTTAATGAGTTGGCCTGGGGGCGAGAACATTGAGAGTGTAACTATTTCTGGCAGAAGTTGTGCCGTAGTGTGGCAAGCTGGTGTGGATGCGAAGTCTGGTGTATCGCTGAGCCTCTGTGTGAAAGGTGATGCTACTTCTAAGAAGGATGTCAAGCTTAGCATGTCTGTAACATACAGTCAAGTCGGTGGTTCCGGCAAATTTACCACTACGAACGATTTGCGCGGTTCCGCCCTCCCCAAGAACATAACTGTAGTCGTCGAAGGAGCAGTCTCGGGGAGTGCCGAAACCAATGCGACCAGTGCGCTTGTCTCTTACGACGTCAACGTGTCGAACAGGCGCCACATGATGAACGAATGGGCGTTCTTGGCAGGGACCGACTTCGAGGTATCAAAGAAGATATTGAATTGGAGGAGGGTCTATCACTGGCGCTGGGAGCAATGGGCTGTTGGTCCCTTTGCCTTTTAATCTGTTAAATTTACGTCTGTTATACGGTCACATTCTTGTTGATTGTCTTACTTCCGGGTTGCTTGCGTTACTGAGTGCGAAGAAATCCGAGATCAGCAGCGAACTATCTCTAAGTGATCTGTAGAGCATCCTAAGTCACATTAAGATTGCTTTGCGAACTGGGGCCTACTTCACAACCCTGGCTACTCACCTCTCTCTTATGGAACTCTTCACAAACGCGGCGGAACTCTAAAAATGTGAAGTTAGAGATTTCTAATGAGCTTAAGCGGGGATTGGAATTTTGCATCTGTGATCGATAGGTGTTTGTTTTCTCGTGCGGGAGTTGAAATGGTAACCTTTCCTTGGTTTTCGGTACTTTTCCTTCGTTTTCGGTACTTTTCCTTCGTTTTTGGTACTTTTCCTTCGTTTTTGGTACTTTTCCTTGGTTTTTTGCTCTGTGCCCCCAAAAAAATCCAACACCAGCGTTCGGCGAGCGCCACTTGCATTCACAGCGCATCTATAATAGGGATCGCCCGAAAATGACTCTGTCCAATTCCAGACCGAAATCTCGAGAAGGTCGATACAATGTTTAAGAATCACACTATAGTATTCAGGCTCGCAATTTAACCTTGTGTGATATTAACGGGGCGTCCGCTTTTTCTGTGTTTGGGTTGTTTATTTTGATGAGTGGAACGTTTTGGCCTTGACTAGGATCGGTCTGATGATTTGCTCTAGAAAAGCGTTGTGTTCTTCCTGCATGGAAGCATGGCTCCATAATACTGGGATTGATAATCGGGGGGTAGAGGAAGCTTGGCTTTCTGGGGAACCGTATTGCTCGCTCTGACGCAGGGTTCAGGGAGTAAGTGCCGGCGATCAGGGAGTTGATTTCTTAATTTTGACGGTTTGCCGACACTCAACGAAATAACGGCGTGGAAGTCAATGACCGTGGTCGAGGACAGACGGGCACGCAGGAAAAAAAGAAAGTCGCCGCGCGGCAAACAGGAGGGTGAAAGGCTCAAACTGCCCATCCTCGTTCCGCAAAAGAAACCACTCGTAAACACCCTAAATACGAATTCACAATATCAAGTTGCTCTCAGGAGCCGGACGAAGCACCCCTGGGAACCGAAGCCATGGCACTAGTGCACGCGACATACAAGAAAGTTGGCACTCTCGGTCGAGGGTCATTCGGGAAGGTCTACTTGGTGCTTCACATTCCCACCAAGGAGCTCCGGGTAGCATTGATAGTGGACGTGGTTACATCATATCGATCGGAAGTGTCTGAACCCCCCTTTGTGTCATTCCGCGAGTAGTTAGGAAGTACTTCATCTCCGGTGTGAAATAATTGTCGGCTGAGCTGGTCAAGTTTGAAACTCTTTGATGAATAGTTCGGACGATTCCGTATCAAGGTGCTGAAGCAGATGGACGTCGACGAGGATCAGATCTCGGAAACCAAAGACCCTAGGAAGGAAGCATTGAGAGTAAGTTGCCATACCGCGGGATTGAACTAAGGATTGTTGGGATACGGGTCGAGCGCTCTGCTCGCTAAGCTGTAATTTTCATGTTTCAGGAGGCCTGGGTATTGAAGAAAATGCATCATCCATTTATAGTAACAATAGTCCCTTTAGTTTGTTTCGTTTACTTGGTTGTAGATTGCATACCACGAAGTTTTCGTAACTCCTCGACAGAAAATGTGCATCGTGATGGGCTACGCTGACGGCGGAGACCTCCATACGTAAGGACATCGGTGTAGCTAGAGGTGTCAGAAAAACGCCTCAGATTCCTGAAACGTCGACGAGGCCTTCTTGCCGAGGAAGAGGTGTTGAGGATGTTCACTCAACTTTGTCTTGCCATTCACCATGTACACAAACAACGAGTCATCCACAGGTGGGGGAAATGTACCTATTTTATACCGCTCGTTCATCTGGTAACAGTCCGAAGCCACAGAATGAACGTATCTGTAACGATTAGGCGGACTGTCTATCCACTTTCAGAGACCTCAAGTCCCAGAACGTTTTCTTGCATGGCCCCAGTCGCACAGTTAAGCTCGGTGACTTTGGAATTAGTCGCGTTTTGGAGCAGACTAGAGATCTTGCTCGCACTATGGTGAGTTCCCCGTGGCGTGGGCAGATTTCTCGTGGAAGATCGGACGTGGCTGTCGTCGCTCAAATGAAACAGCCTATAGGTTCGTGATATGAGTTCCTAGTGGGAGCTGAAGGGCCACTGTATGCAGGCAAGTGGGAGCCTGCATACAGTGGCCCTTCAGTGACGACTCCGGTCACCAGTGTATCGAATCAGCTCTAGGGGTTCAGTTTCGGGCGCAGCTAGCACAGACACTTTCTCTTCATTGTAGCAGCTCTATTAAACACGATTTTTCTGTCTTCTCATAAACTGAGTATTATCCTATTATTTTGTAATTTAAACTTTTCATTACAGAATAATCAGTGACTTTACTATACAGTGAATTATCATTGGTGAATAACTACTAAGCTATGAAAAGGGATCATTACTTATATTTCCGTCACCGTTGAATTTTGCCTTTATCCCCTATTGTAATCGTTTTGGTGCAGGTCGGGACTCCCTACTATTTAAGTCCAGAGATCATAATGGAACAACCGTACGGGTTCAAGTCTGACGTCTGGTCCATGGGTAAATGGGGAGTAGGAAATTTTGCCAATCAAGTTTGACGAATAGGCATTATACTCTACGAGATGCTTACGTTAAAGCATCCCTTCGATGCAAGGAACATTCAGCACTTAGCTGTGAGGATACTGAATCTCAAGTTTGAGGACCCGGACAAGACACGTTATACCAAGGACGTGGTATGTATAATGCACGCATGCGCGTACGCGTGCGCAAATCACACATATTTTATTACTGTTAGCGTGACACCGTTCGAGTCATGCTGACTCGGGAGTCAGAGAAACGTCCAAGTGTGGAAGATCTTCTGAATTTCCCCCTTCTAAGAAGATACGTCTTGAAAGTGAGCTCGAGCTACTTGTGATGGCTGGTCACGTGTGTCAATTAGGAACTGGAGACATGCAATGACTTGGACTTCACGCTTAAGAACGGATGTACCGAAGCCCGCGAGAATCCAAGCTTGAAGCTTGCACGTTTCAGCTACATCACCTAATAATGTCGTTAAGCTTCCAGCCCTGCCGAGTGCCGCCAAGCCGAGTGGGTTCGTGGCCAGAATACGCGGGTTGACCAGGTATGCACGCGTGCGCTTGCTGGACAAGGATTTTTATTCAGTTCTGCACGGTCGTCCTTAACTAGGCCGTTTCAGCGGCGAGCAGGTCGAGCTCTTTCACCGATGCCAGAGAATAGAACTCGGTAACGTCATGAGGATTCATCTTACCCACGGAAATTCTAATGAAAACACATTACCGCAATTCACTATCGCTCTCACTCGCTACCCCTGCTACGGGAAGGGACGCCGGAAGTGTTTCTTCTGGGACTGTTCGTTGTCCCCAACACGGAGACTGTAAGATGGTTTAATGTTTGTAGATACTACCAGAAAGAGGACATCAAACTGCCCGCTGTCGTAGTTATGCCATCACCGGTAACCAATCCGCAAGATGATCAAGTGAGGCTGAATTAGTGACGTTAATCTCCTTGCACAGTAGACCGGAACTCTGAGTCACTTCCAGAGTCATCAATCGTACTGACTCGTCAGCTTAGTGAACATTCATGGGTATGATTTTTTATTTTATGGCTCTTTGACACAGAGCTCGTATTCAGTGAATCTTAGAAGAACATGAAAGGCCCTCATTGGGAATGTTTGTTCGATGTCACTTTTCACTCTCGGAATCTATTCTGTAACTAACATTGAAACTCCGAGTCGGTCCAACAGCCAACTGGAATTTGGTGAACGTGCCGGGATGGAATTATAATATCGACTCGCTGCTGCGCATTTTCACGCTTTTTTGTCTTTAAAGGTTTTATTGGGGTCGATAGGGGACCCGGTCTCGGTGACTGCTGGCAAGGGGAATCCTGATATTTCTCAGAGTCAGGATAAGAAGCTTCGCTCCGCCGAACATGTAAGTATTGTATTCACTTTTATCTGTTCAAGCAGCTTTGCAAGGTGCGTCTGCCGCCAATAGTATCGGCGAAAGCAGTGGATAGTCTAGAAAAGCTCCCGTCGCCTATCAAGGAGAAAGCCGACGTCGTCGAGGCATCGAATCATGTGGAGGTCGCAGATCTACCAGTGCAGGAAGAAGAGTAGGACGCCAGTATGTGTTGGAGAGAAGTATTGGTGAGCAGGTATCCTGAAGATTTCGAAGTTGAAGATGACGTGGATGACAGCTCCCAGTTGGGAGGCGAAGAGAACGAACACGATAAGGGAGCGGAGGGCAAAAATGCAGTGGAAGAAATAAGTAGGCTTAAAAAGCCACTTGCCAGGATTGAACTGACGACCTTCTGCTTACGAAGCAGACGCTCTACCACTAAGCTAAAGTGG